TGTTGCACAGAGTGAAGCTTGGACAACAACGGCGAGCCAGACATAAGGTTGGCTTTTAATGAGAAAACAATTAAGAAGTCAGTTAAAAGCAAAAATAACTTAATTTTAATTAATCTCCTATGGCAATATTTCTGTCTTGATCTTCATTTGAGATGAAGTAGCCTGATGAAGATATTCGTAGGTTAATCTCACCAGAATACGACGAATGATTCTTGCTGTGCCGTAACTTTTAAGTTGATGCAATCTACGAAATATCCTCTCTCATTTCTGGTGTAAGCGAGATGAGCTCATCCTTTATATGACTTACACCGACAGAGCTGGAACTCATTTTTACAAAAGTGGGTTTTGAAGAATTGCTTAGTGACATGATTTTTGATTTCGAAAAAAAGTTAGTCATAAAGAATTCGTGAATTGGCCTCAACAGAAACCGAAGGAGGATTACCTACTGTAGGATTGTCACCGGACGATAAGCCAAGGACTAATTCATAAAATGCAATAGTCTCCACTCATTTAAAGGCGATCCTCATTCGATTTCCAGTGTGACCAATTTACGAATTCCTTCCAACAAACGTTACGTACGATCTACTGTTAATATCAAAAACCGATTCAGTAGTCGTTATTATACTGTACACTTCAAGCTATATGATGCGACCTGACTCGAATCCGGCATCGCTTGTAAATAACATCTAATTACCGAGCTCAATTATTCTGTAAGTTTGTTGGCTGCCCTTAAGAAGATATCTTCTTTTGACTTAGAGTCAAGATTGATTGGTGTGTGGATCAATACAATTTAGAATATAATGACCACTTTCTTGTAATGGCCGGATGTCACTCTTCACTACGGATACCTGCACAAGTTAGAGGTCATATTGACAATGAACAAAGGTGTGCGCACATGCCTCATAGCGACTCGGATTATCTTTGAGGCTGACAGAAACAATTATGTCGTACGAATATCTGCGAAATGACCAGTTTGGCCAATAAATTCGCATCATTTCGTCTTGAAAGTCGCTTTTAAACTCTGTAATCCTTGCGCTCTGAATACAATGACTATGATCTGCGCCATCATGACGATTTTCGCCTCAATTCTAGTCACATTCCCTCAAGCAAACTTATGCGCCCCAGTTCTAGGTCCGGAAATTGCAAGCAAAGTCCAGGGCTGGAATCCGTGGGCAAACGTTGTAGCCAATGGACTAAGGAAGACGAAAGTGTTACCTCAACAAGGGTTTGGCCCACAGACCTGGTTTCTGCCTCCGCTGCTAAAAGAGAAGCTATTTTCACAACCATTCAGCTGGTTTTAGAAGAAACACCTCCTGACTACCCCGAATTGACAATGTGATGTGGGAACATGATTTTCATCCGACAACCTGAGAATAACCGCAAAATTACTTTTGGGTTTAATTTTATACTTAATAAATATATTTACTATTTGACATATGTGCCAAATTCAGCTTTATAAAAGTGTTTTAATTTATTCTAAATATTGATTTTGGTCCCTAAATGTTAACCAAAAGTCGTATAAGTATACCTCCTCTTGAATGAATGTATCCAGCAATTCGATGGTTGCGATCCAGAGGGCAGACTTAGACTCTGACAGCTCGTATCCGAGGCCTATGTCGAACATGATGCCATTACCAGGGCATGATGACAAATCCAAATGAGGAGCATTCGGGTATTGGGCGAAATCAAAGAGTTAAGGGATCCAAATAGGGCCTTTATTTTTTTCCATGTCTCAAATGGCTATTATTAGGTGACAATTTGGTAGTTTTGGTTTGGATAGTACTCGATGAATAGACCAAAAGTAAGTATTACCCAAATAATATAGGTACTAAGGAAATCATTGATCCCGATAACCTGTCTGTTGGTGTCACAAGGCTGGAGCTGTACCAAAACTATGCTGAATTTTAGACGATTCGGCGTCCCGATTTTTGAAAGTGGTATTAGTAAGCATATTAATATTAATGTGGGCACAAGAAAAAAGAATATATATGAAGAAAAACTAAGTTTCCAAGAACTCCTTAGTGATATATTTGGATATAACACACCATTTCAAAGAGGAAGTTTGTAGGAAGGAATTCGTGGCATGATCTGACCTGAATCCGAAGGAGGATTGCCGCGTAGTTAAGACTGTTGAAGTGTGTCATTAAGTTGTGTCACCGTCCTGCGATCCCAATGAAACTGTGCTAAGCTTTCGTCTGTACGGTGACAGACAGCATCAGATAAAGAATCCATACTTAACGAAATAGAGCAAAAATATCCTAAACCAAGAGAAAAGGTGGCTGGCTGCAACCTTAGTCGCTTTTTTTATACGCTTAACTTCACGATCTTAATGTAGGAGATTTGGTTGGCCACCACAACCTTACTTTGCATGCTTACAAATAC